TCCATAATTTCACATCTGGCACTATGGAAAACAATAAATTAAAAATCACCTTGCTGCACCAGCAACTGCTTTCACAGCTAGCACTGAACTTCGTGTTGTTTGTGGGGCAATAGCTGATTTGGGCCACTTAGGATCTACTTCAGAAAACTTTAACTTGAGTTTAACTGCAAGTACATTAGGATTTCCAACTGTGACTAATGATCATGTTTTGGTATTTTTTCCTAGCCAGGCCTTGAGGCTGGATGGATCCTCTGTAAGATTTCCCCAGCCAGCACCCTGCTGTGCTCTGCAGCACCAGCTCTGACGTGAGGGATGGTGCTTGGTGTGAGATGTTGTCTCACTCTGCGGCAGCAGAGCAGGGCTCTGTCTACAACAACTCAGAGAAACAAATAGGAAACAGGATTTCCCCCAACAGGCGTCTGATTTTTCAGAAATGAACCGTTGTAATGGGATATACAGCTGAGCAAACCCCACAGTCTATACAGGATGACTTCACACTTGACAAAACATAGCAGGTGGGACCTCAAGCTTACTTCACCTGAGCACCAAGCTGTAGCTGGTTCCCTTTTTCTCAGGATTTACTAGAAATTATGTTCTTGTTACCATTTTGTGCAGGCTGGGTTCTGGTAGCTGCCAGACCAAGAAACCTTGACCCTGTTTGTTTGCTACAAACACTGTCAGCGTTATGTGCTCTCCACCCTCTGGGGCCCAGGAGAGCTGGTGTTTGGCTCCTGCTGCAGCCTCGGGAAGATGCCCTTTCAGGAACTCAGCTCTTCTGCTAAAGTCTCCCTCTTCACTGAGACCATCCTTCACTGGGAGCACTGCAGCATATTTTAAAAGCTTTCTCTGTCTGGAAATTCTCCAGACAGCTCCTTACCTACTGCTGTCATCGTCCTCCTCTCCCCCTCCCTTATTAAAGCCTCCCAAGCAGATCCGTATCATTAATATTTCAGTATCAGCTGTACACGGGCATTGGCTACACTGCAGCACACTTCATCAATAAGAGCCAGCGAGGGCTCTGAGCTCTGCCACACTGCCTTCATCCAGCACAGGAGGAAGAGCAAAGGCAGAGCCTGCCAGAGAAGCTGAGATCTGCCGAGGGTAAGGCTGCATCCCGCAGTCCCAGCCTTGAGGTGCTTTTTGCTGCTTTTGCTCCCTCATTCAGATCATCTCAGATAATACCCTAACAAGCAACAAGAATGGATGTCTTTAAGAAAGGTTTCTCCATTGCTAAAGAAGGTGTGGTGGCTGCTGCAGAAAAGACCAAGCAGGGAGTGACAGAGGCTGCAGAGAAGACCAAAGAAGGGGTAATGTATGTAGGTAAGAGAGAACTAGTTTTGATCTACTTTTGAGCATGAAAAGCTGCATAAATTGTCTCTGAGGAAGTCTGGGGAAATGATATTGTGGCTGAAGCTTCGGAGTGACTAGCAGGAAAGTCTGGATAAGATCCTGAGCTCTGCAGAGTTGCTGTGTAAACCTGGGGTACCACAGCCTCCCCATGCCTCAGTTTCCCCAACTGTAAGTTAGATGTAGAAACCACGATTTCAGGGAAGGCAGAATGATGTTAAGGAGCAGATGCCCAGGTGTAAGGTTTGTTTGACTATTCAGTGATTGCTTGCAGAGTGAGTCAGGCACTCTCCAGGCAAAGGGGCACTGCCGGTCTCTGCCTCACCTCCACACTGGGAGGGACTCACTGAGGAGGTCCCTGAGAGGAGCCAGCAGTGTTAGTATGAGGGGATTGCAGGATGCATCTGTTTCCCCACAAACAAATGGGTTTGTCCTGAAGTCCTTCTCCTGTTCACCGACCTCTTTCGTTGCCCATGCACACATTAATCTTGCTTTAGGAGAGACGCCCAAATTCCTTTTGCCCAAAGAAGAGGATCTGGAAAACAGCGTGCCTGATGTCCTGCCTAGAGATCTCTTTACAGTTAATGGGCTGAAACCTCCCCTTTCAAGGTCACCCTTGAAACCCACTATCTCCACTTATCTAGCACATGCAATTATATGGCTGGATGGTCAGATATTCCATATAATACAAACTAAAGACTCAGGTTCCCAAGACTGATTATCTCACTGCTGATTACTGCATTTCACACAGCTCTTTATTTTTGCTGGATTGGGAGTGTTTCTTTTTGTGGGAAAGTTTACATGCAGGCTCTTCCTGCTATCCTACTGCAACATCTACAGCTGTACTTAGCTACTATATTTAAACTGCTCTATTGCCAATAGCTACAGATATGTATTTGTACGTTACAAATTAAATACAAAATTTGTATGTAGCAGGTTTCGTAATGTTTTTATTTTGAATTTTTAAGTACTTAATTATTGACATGCTGGAAATGAATGGATGTAACAGTTCACATTTCAATTTGAAGCTGACCCACAAGAAAAAAAGGTAAGCAGCATTCCTGTAAACAACTAAACCAACTACAGTAAGTGAAACACCAGTTTAAGAAATGTCACATGTGGGTGTCACATTGTGGCATCATTACTGCTCCACCTGCTTCCAGATCTGAGTTGTGTTGAGGTTATTCAGAGTTTTTATACATAATTTCTCACATCTCTTTTCAGTCACGTTGTACAGCTCCATACTGTGACCTGGTTTTCGTTGTTGAGCCAAGAGGTCTCTTTAGGAGATTCTAACCTTTTCAATAAAGTTTTCTATGAGCCTAAAACTCAAATAAGGATCAAGGTGAGGATTAAGTGCTTTCTCCTTTTATTGGTTTGGTTGGTTTTGTTCCTGCCCTGTCATGCCCTGGTCAGAGATTTGCCTTGGCCTGATTCAGTTCCTGTTGGGAAGCTCAGCCCTTTAGGGAAAATTCAGTCTTTCACAGGCAGGAAAAGTAAAGACCAAATGCTGATTAGCTCAGAAAATAGGTTTTGTTTTAATAGCCAGAGAAGGTGGAGGTGTGGTATATAGGTTAAAACAGGAATGATTAGTATGTTGTTCATGCTGCCTTTTGTCACTGTGCCACATGAACAGTAAATCAGAGATCTGAACTGTTCCTTCCTTGCTTCTTCCCTTGCAGAGCCCCATCCCAGCAGCTTCATCTAGAGCATTAGGTGATGAGACTTGAATTTTTGGATACTAGGGGAGAAAAATGCTGTTTTGAACCTCAAGGGTCTTTTGAGAACATCAGGAAAGAGATCAAAATCCCCATGCCATCCTAGGATGGATGAAATGGATCCCTGACTTTTATTCAGGTTTGTGTTAACTCATTGCTGATTCTCTGAGGAGGATTCCAAATGTCTGGGCACAACCACCCTGTCTGGTGAGTCACTTGCTACTGCCCTGGAGGAGAAAACAATGCTCACTCAGAGGCATCTGTCTGGAATGAACAGCATCACTGGGACACTGTGGCCACCTCACTCCCCCTCTGATCCACACAGGTTCAGCTCCCACAGCCCAAGCCAGCCAGGAGATGCCTCCCTCCTGTGCTAAGCCTGCAATGCAGTGCCCCTGCCCTGCCACTGGCCTTGCTGAACCTGTGGGGTAGAGAAGTGAGTGCCCGAAAGGAGAGGGAGGAGTGCTGTATCATGGGTCACCTCTGTGCTTGGTGAAATCACCATCTGCTCCCCAAATTCTAGCAGCCTCTGAGTGTGCCAGTGTCAGGAGATCCCTGCATGGGTAGTGTGGATTCAGCAGTTGGTTCAGTGGGCTCTCTTTTTTAAATTTGGGTTGAATAGGAGTGTAAGCGATGCTGAAGTTAATGAATGAATTTAATGCAAAGCCACATCAGAGTATTGAATCATTAATACTGTTTAATGCTATAGTTCAGGAAGCCTCAACAAAGAATGCACTTCTAGTTTTCCAGAATGATTTTCGACCATGTGTGTTGCAGAAAGCCCCAACACACCAAGCTATGTTTAAACTGAGTGATTCCTGCAGGACTTAATGCACATCAAAATATCCCTCTCTACTCTAGACCTTCTCCAGGGCACAGCACTCCACCACCTCGGTCCCACCCTGGTGGTCCCAAAGCACTTGCGGATGACTCAGAAGAGGCAGGATGCATGAACTTTTAATTCTGGGTACACAAGCCGCAGGCAAGGACTAATGAGTGAAATGAGATTGAGCATCAGGTGATTGCTTTCTGATTCAACAGAAAGCAATCACCTGATGCTCAATCAGCATCAGCACCTGCGGGCTGCTGGCAGGAGTGTGCGCCGGAAGGTCGGGTTTCATGCGGTGCATAATGGATGGGAGCCTGAGTCATCGGGTGTGGCTGGGCTGGGAGATGAGGCGAGCTCTCCCCAGGCTGCAGCAGTGACTCTTCCCAATGACATTGCTTCTGTCACGAAATGGATTTGGATGTTTTTCTCCTATCTGCATCCCTCCTTTCTGGAATTATTTTCCATCCGCAAGTATAGCACCTGCTCACTCCTCTTCCCCGTAAAATTATTGTGCCCTGATAGTCACCTTAAAAGTCTGGCAAAGAACATACAAAACTGCAGCTCTTGTCTCACTAAGTGTGTTTACTGCAAAACTGCAAAGGCATGAAAGGCTGGTACAGCAAATCATGTACTTTGCTTACCTATCAACTGCTGTTTGACCAAAAACCAGCAAAGGGCTAAGCTTGAGGATGAGTCTGATATGAGACAACCTTGTATGTGAAATCGATATTGTGGCAGTCTTTTCTTGGAATGCTACTGGGAGGGAAAACAAAGCAGGAGGGTGTCTGAACTGAACCTTGTGTGTTTGGCCCATTCAGGGGCTCACATTTGTGGCTTGAGACCTGCGTGCTGTGCTTCTGCTCATGTTTGTGTATCACGGGCACCATTATTAAATCCAGTTCACAGCAGTACACATGTATGATGTGCATCACTAGGAACTGTAGCTTACAGCAGTAACAAATTAAAGGTACACAGATTTCATTTCTTGACCTTTAAGACAGTTTGGCAGGGTGGAGTGAAATGCTGAGGGCATATTGTTGAACGGTTTTGTTCTGCTCCAGGCAAACACTGCAACCACTAAAATAAATCAACAATTGAGAAATACATAACATGAATCAGGCAAAACAGAACTGAGCTGGGCTGTTGTTATCAGGGCACTGCACCTGTTTTGTTTCTCAGGCTGTTAATGAGAATGAGCTGTGGTTTGTGACTAGTTTCTCCCACCACACTCATGGATGCTCCACTATCATGGAGTCAAAAATCTGCCTGGTTGTTGTCCATTTTTATCATTTTGATAGTTGGCCATAGAAATCCTTTTGTTGTATCAGTATGGGAAACCTGAAGAGAACCTGTATAGGTGCAGATGATTTGCAATATACAGTAAAGTGGGACCAGTGGAATATTTTTTCTTGTGTTTATTTAACTTTCAAGAGAGATAAATTTGATCCTTTATTTTTTTCAATGTGTAAAGCACCTAGTTACCATGAGGGCTGCCCATCTACCATATGATTTAACTTATCTGCAGCAGTATCAAGTACAAAGGATATATAGCTTGTCACTTGAAGCATGGAGGAAAATCACAGAGATTAATTATTCCTCAGGGCTATTTGTGTTGCAAACAGAATGCCTTCACATCCTGTTAGCTTTTCTGCATTGAGAACAGCAAGATAAATTACAATGTGAGCATAAATGTGGTGTATTTTCATAATTTGAGATAAAACCATCTGCTTTCTGTGCATTGCTGTGAGCAGGCACTTACTGCCTAGACTGAGGCACCAAACTGTGAGTGAATCTAGTAAGTAGGTATGTAGGAGGTACCTACAGTAGTAGGTATGTAGTGGTTTTGTAAATTCAGTCTCAGGTTTCTCTGGAGTCTTTATTAGTGGTATAGAATGAGACTTTAAATGACCACTGCAGCCAAGTATCCTGCTGAAAGGTAGGGGCAAGTCATGGATGTGACTTCTTGTCTTGCAAGAGTGAGGTAGGTGAGATGTTACCAGGTGATTTTATTTACAGTCATTTTACAACTAGCTTAAAGTTGATTTACCACCACTCAACTGCTCAAATTGGAAATATTGCAGGAACAATTTTTTATAATCAAGATTTTTCAGGTCTAGTCATCTCCAGAGAATTTGCTGTTGAAGCTCTCCAACTCTCAACACAGAGATACTCATTGGCTTTACTGGGGAGGGAAGCTGCTCACTTTTCTGACTCTACAAATGGTTTGTGTCTGAGCAGGAGGTACCAGCAGCACCTTGGCTCCCCACTGCACTTCCTGAGAGCAGGAAACCATCTGTGTGCAGAAATCAGGGTGTCATTTCCAGCTAGCACTGATGGGCTGTGTTTCCTTCCACAGGCACCAAGACCAAGGAGGGCGTAGTGCAAAGTGTGACCTCAGGTAAGAGCACAGCCCGAGAGGGATGTGGAAATCTGTGGTGATTGTTTGACCTCTTGGGAAGGCCGTCACCCCTGCCAAGTGGGAGGTCTCTGTGGGACACCATTGATCTGTCTGACCTTCCCACTGATGAGTAGAGGCTGCTTGCCAGGAGCAATGGTTCAGGGTCTGGCATTTGCAGTGGACATGGGTGAGAGAAAATATTTAATCAGTAGAGTAGGTCAGAAAAAGTGTAACGCAGGTTACTTGGCAGACTGGGATGATTCACAGCTATTTAGACATTTCACAATGTCAGGTGCACAGCCCAGAACACAGAGAGGATTTACTTGCATCAGATCCTGTCTGGCCAAAACTGTGGTCTTTGGGACAGTCCTGTCAGGCAGCTGCAGAGTCAGGGACCTAAAGGTCCCTTCTAGGGTATCCCCAACTCCAAGGAGGAGCAGCCATATGGACTGTCCTGAAGGAAGATTAATGGATCCTTTCCCTGGAGGATTTCATAACTATTGCTGTTTTCTGCCAAGGGGTATTAAATCAAACAGAAAGTAACCTGAAAGAGGTCATGCACAGTCTGCAATGCAAAATACCTTATTTACACTGTTGTCTCTCAGTATCTGACCGTGAATTTTTCATTCTCTGGCTGCCCACAAAGACTGACAGGCTGCAGTGCTGCTTTCTAAGCAGCATTTTGTGCCAGATAAAAATCCTCACATACACAATCTAAATTCAGACGTGATCTCATCTAAAAAATCCAAACAAGGACTGCACCAGGGCTAATTTCTTCTTTTACATCAATGCAATCATTTGTCATCCCAGGGAATTTGGCAGCCTTCTGACAGTGTCTAGTTTGCTGACTTTTCTGCTTTTGTTGAAACTGCAGTTGCTGAGAAGACCAAAGAGCAGGCCAACGTGGTGGGAGAAGCTGTAGTAGCCAGCGTGAACACAGTGGCAAACAAGACTGTAGAAGGAGCAGAGACCATTGTGGCCACTACAGGAGTTGTAAAAAAGGTGTGTTTGTTTGTTCTATGATGGGCAGGACAGAAGAGCCTTTGGATTAACCTGCAAACATTTACAGTTGATGGTTTTACTTATTTCATGAAAGGTTTTCAACAATATCTGCTTTGCATAATACTTAATATTATCATATAATGCCTAATATAGTCACAGAATAATTTAGTTTGAATGGCACACCTTGAGATCATGCAGTCCAACCCCCTTAGGGCCAGTGAGAGAGGACTGTCCCAGTGGGTTTTGACTATCTCCATGGAAGTAGACTCCACAATATTCCTGGGCAACCTGTGCCAGTGTTTGACCACCCTCACAGGAAAAAGAGACTTGTTTTCTTCTGTTCAGTTAGACACATTAATCATTTGGTGCCTATTGTCTCTTGTCCCATCAGTGGGCACTGCTGGCAACAGTCTGGCTCCCCATTTTCTTATGAATGTAGAAAAGCATTTTTCCCAGGGACTTGAGTAGAAATGTGTGTGGGCTGCAGTGAGCATCTGGGCTGAGTCAGAGCTCCGGGATGTGCAGAGTGGGAAGGCACGGGAGCCTGCACTTGCCCTCACCCCTGTGCTGTGCTGGTGGGATGCACAGGCTTGCCCTGGCCAGGCAGCTCCGGAGGCAGAAGAGGGCAGCAGCAAGCCAGGCACAGCCTGGTTCCAGCAGAAAGCCTCTCCCTGCTGCTCTGCTTCGTGCTGGTTTGACAACCAAGTGCTTATTGATAAAAGACCGTGTGACCCAAATTGTGTACGGATTAAGCCAGATTCAGACAAGGCATCTTCTGTCCTCCAGCCTAATTTGACCAACAGGGCTGCTTCAAGAGAGGGGATTAAGGGGCGTCTGAAGGAGCAGAACAGTTCCTTAGATGAAGGCAGTGTTGATCATTAGAGAAGAAGCTTTGGTAACAAACAGCACCCATTTGTACAGCACGAGGCCAATACTTGGCAGCTCTTTGGTAAGCCCTTCTCTTTCCTCTCTTCAGAGACTGTGATCGGTTCTGTTGATGGCCACATGAGCTCTATGAGTCACAGCAAACTCAAAGCGAAGCCAGGCTGGCCAAAATCGTTTTAATTGTTCAGATAGTCGGCTGATTAATTTCCTGACCTGCACATAAACACATTGTGATGTGAAACAAAACTTCTACACAGCATATAAATCCTGAGAGAATAGCCTAACAAAAGAGAACAGCAGCTACATGTGAGGCAAAATGTCCTCCTGAAAGCATGTGAAAAGAGCAGATACAGGAGTTCTGCTAAACCCTTGGGATAAATTTAATCTCTATTCCCACAGAGAGCAGCAGTTAGGCTGCAGGAGTGCAAACAGAGATTCCTAATTCCATGGGGCCAGATCACCCCTTCCTACCTTTTGACTGACCGTGGGGTGGTTGACCCAGGAGAGTGAGGAATTTGCTGATGGTAGGAATCCTTGCTGCAGATAGCAAGCTGTCTCCCCTCCAGCAGGGACTGAGCAGCAGCAATCCTCTTCTCCTTTCCTCCTAAGTGAGAACCCCACCTCAAAGACTGACAGCTACAGCTTACACCTAATTTCAGAGCTTAAACCAGTGCAGGTTTTCCAGAGAGGATCTGAACTGTCATTCCAATGTCTTCCATTGATGCCCAATTGCTTACACTTAAAATGGAGATTGATTAAGAAATAATGCATTAGGATGTGTCACATGCCAAAGGGCAGACTAAATGGAGCCAGGAAACTGCTTTGGATACATCATGCCAAACAGCAGAGGTGCTGAGGCAGCAGACTGAAAACAGGAGGAGAAAAACAAGAAAAATCACAGGAGAAAAAAAATCAGGAAAAACATTTGTTTCTGTGAAAGAGGGTTCATCTGTTCTGCTGGATTAGTTCAGCTTGGTGCAAATCTTTTATTCATACTCACCATACTTTAGCATGTAGCTAGACACCTTTTAGATCCAGCTAGACACAGAAGATTGGGCTCCACATGCACATTGACTGCATGCCCACTGCTAATGGATAATTGCCATGGAGCCAAAGCTGCTCCAGAGGGAGGGGCCCTGAAAGGAGTATAAGGACTTGTGCTGGACTCTCAGCACCAGCTGGTTTTTCTCCAGAACTGTTCCTATCATGTTACACAATTTGCTAATGGAAATACATCCAGAGTCTGCCAATAGCAGTACCAGGCACTGTAATGCATGAGGGAGACCCACTGGAGATACACTAAGAGTAATAATGTATAGCTTTTAAATGTTTAAACTGAATATCCACTGTTATAATCCTGCAGTCCTGGAATAATCACAAGCACTTCAGCCCCAGAAGTTTGAGAGAGCATCCAGTCCTGAGACTTGCTTGTGCTCCATAGTATCCTCCCTCTTTCTAATTGCACAGAGCACTTGCCAACATCTTATTTGGGTTTTCAACTATCTCCAGTGTAGTTCCCTGCTATAGAAGGGCTGTGTTCAAAGTGCCAGGGATCTGTGAATGCAAGACACTGAGCAGTGCTCGGGGTGACTTGGGGCTGGGGACTCCAGTGGCCTAGAAGGCATGTTCCCAGCTGGCCATTGCCAGTATGAATATCGATTACAGGGAGCTCGCTGACATTTAGTCTGTGCATTTGACAGCTGGGATCAGTAGCAGGCACACATTAGGAAAGACAGGGCTACTCTAAGGGTTTTGGTCAGGATAGCCGTGGGGTGCAGGTCTATCAGATGGTGACTTTGGCCATGGGAAAGAATTCAGCCCTTTGTTGCATCACAGCAGGCACTGAAATGTGGATGCCCTGGCAGTCTGCTGTTCCTCAGTGTCCTTGGGGGAGCACTCAGAGCCACGCAGAAGGAAATGGGGCTGAAGTAACCCTACACCTATGGAGGGGTGCCAAGCGCCAGATGAGAGCAGCCTTGAGTTGTGCTGGCACTGCCTGACAGGGCTTTGGCACTGACCTGGTCACTGCTGAGTACAAGAAATAATTTACTCTTCTGGGGGAGCTTTTAAGTATCAACTAAAAAAAAAAATCAAATTAAGAGATTATAAACCCTCCACAATTTTTCTGATATAAAAAGGAATTAAACCAGTCAGTAGTGTGTCCTGTCTGTGACTTTGCACCCATCCCCATCCCTGGGGTGGACATTAAGAGATTCCAGTGAGATAACCACCCACTAAATATCCCTGTCTTACAAGAGGATTAATGCTTCGTCTGTATGACACAGCACAGAGCTTGCTGCAATGCAGACACCACGTGGCTGGGAACAAGCCCATGGTGTGGGCTTGTTCCCACTCTCAAAATGTCCCTCGGGGTTTGGAACAATTTCCCCAATAACTGATGCTTCCCTCCACCTTCCACCTAAATCTTCCCCTTAGATCTATTTGTCCTGTGAGTTTTTATGATTTAGTTGTCAGTTCATGACTCTGTCACTTTGAATTGGGTCTGATCTGTTTTTTTTCCTTCAGCCCATTAATTAAATGAGCATTTGTCAGTTATGTGCAACCGCTGGGCGCGTTCTCTGCATCACAGCCTTTCTGTGCACCTGATCTGGGGCACGTGGGCCGCACCCACGCCATGGCTCACCTCTTTCATAACAGCTGCACGTCTTGAATGGGAAAGGCTGCTGTTCATGGCCTTAATTCCCTTCACTTACACCCTGCAACGCCTCCGATGCAGAGACAGTCTGTTGCACGGAAGGAATTAGAAGCAGAAACTGAGTGACCTTCCTGTCCAAGTTAGATTGGGCTGGGCAAGTGCCGCCATGAGAGAGCAACCAAGGGCATCTGAGAAGCCACCAAAAGCAGAGCAGCTTAGCAGGAGGAGCAGGGAAATCAAAGCCAAACCACCCAACAATTAGGTAGAATAAATAGCTGAAACTTGTTCCCCTTTGTATTCAAGCTTCCCTGTACTTAGCTGATGCAGTGATGCATCCCAGTGGCATCCTTCCACATGTCATGGAGCACGGGAGACTGCACAAGCAGTGTGGAGTAGGGCACTCTGCCTACAGGCACTTTTTCTGTTTTCCCCTTTCAGTCACATTAGTGCATTCAGGCAGACATTTTCCCATGCAAAATAGCTGAGTTAGTGGCATTGGTGAAGCCTTAAAGCCTACAAGACCATGGATGTGCTCCATGGCTCAAGGCTGTACCCTTGCAATCCCATAGGACATACATTAAATACGTATCATTTTTATAAGCAGTCCCAGGAGACTCTCAGAGAGTCTGGCTGTGAGCTGGATAAAAACAAAGCCAACACAAAAGACTACCTGGATTTGTAGGGTAAGACAGGAATCCTGCATTCCCCTCTGTCTGTCCTGTTGGTGGGTCCACTCACTTTAATCAAGGGTTGACCCCTTAGTCAGAGCTGTTGGCATCACTCTGAGCACTCAGCCTGAAACCTGTCCAGGACAGCTCGTCCACAGGACCTGCCAGGCTGCCTGAGGCTTTCCTAGGGAGTGGTTTGGGGATGCTGCCAGGCAGCATCGTGTTTGCCCCAGCACCCAAGGTCAAGAGCACTACAGGAGGCTGAACCTCTCTGCCTTATGCAATTGATGTCCCTTTGAGGGCCCTTGAATTTGTAGCACATTAGGCTGCCAGTGAACCTCTCTAGCTTTTCAGCCTTGAAATAATAGCAATAATAATAATGATGAGGATTATGAAAATGAAATCTTGGTTGCTACTGAATTTGTTGAGATTTGATGAGTATATTCCAGCATCCAATATCTGAACTGCTTTCTCTTTGATATAAGGATGATAATCTTAGTAAGATTGTTTATGTCTGAATATTTGGGGACAGCAGCAAAACTCCCACTGGTCTACAAGAAAATATAGACAAAAATATAAACTCTACTTCATATATGAACTCAGACAGTGGACAAGTCAATTGCTGAAGAGCTGAAAAAGGGAATTTCACAGAACCTGTGAAAATGAGAAATGTGAAGAATTGAATTGTAATTAATTTCTTCCAGTATTTCTGGGCTTTCAAAATCATTTTTTAAAACAACTTATTAAAATATCTGAACCCAGAAGCCCATAGTACAGTCTATTTAAGATCCCTTTCCACTACACAGCAAATTTTTTTTTAAATGGCAGGACTTAATTTGTTGAGTTTTTAATTAGTGATAGCTGAACATGTACCTCTGTTTCATAACCTTAGCAAAATATTGTATTTTATATATAGCAATCTACTGTGGTGTATATGTTCTAGATAAAATATATTTCTAAACACACAAAATATTTAAAAACTTGTGTACTATTCTTGGCATAGTACATATTAGTACACAATAATATATAGCAATCTACTGTGGTGTATATGTTCTAGATAAAATATATTTCTAAACACACAAAATATTTAAAAACTTGTGTACTATTCTTGGAAGGAATTCTGAGGCCTTGTGTTTCACTTAGCTATTATGTTCAAGTATTTCACTTTTCTTTCTTCATTAGCAAAAAAAGATTCAAAACCAGAAGAACATAGCCCATAGCAAACTAAATATTTAATGTTATTTCCATTTAAAATACTTTTTTCTAAGAAAGTATGTAAATTCTGAGGGGAAATATTTGGCTCTCCCTTTAAGAGCAGGAGGAGCATTACTAATTGTTTCATGGTTTCAACATGCCTTTAGCTTAGAAAATGCTACCTCTTTTAATGAGGCGATGAGCACTGACAGGAATGGCAAAACTCTTTCTGCCCCCCCCACCAAGGAAGTTGGATTTTCACCCCTTCTTTCTTGCCCAGCATTGTTCTGTGAGTCAGTGTTTTAGCTGGAGCTGGTGCCCAGGAATTTCTGGCTCTTTGTCCAAAGTGGAGACCCCTACACCACCTGGTCCTCCTCTGGGTATTGTCTTCCTGAGCAGTGCCTGAAATCCCCAGCCAGGTAACACCCAGCTGAAGAATGCAGCCCTTCCTCATCTCCTGCTCCCTGTTCCGGGCAGGGTGGAAGCGCGTGAGAAAAAGGCTGTGAAGCGCCATCCCTAACACAGCCTGACACCTCTTCATCCTGCTATTGTGCTGGTTCCTCCAACATAGCACAGAAACACCCTCCAGAAACTCAGTTGCTTCCCTTTCTAAAAATAGATGGTTGATTTTTAGCCTTCTGGAGCAGTCTTGGCAGAGAGCACGATCTAAGGGACCCAGCAAGCAGCACAAAAGCTGAACAGGGATTCTCCAGCCCACCCCTTGCTCTTGGATACAGTGTCCCAAGGGTGGTCCTGAGAAAGGTGTTTCTCTCCCAGGACTCTTTCCACATCTACCAGAGCCAATCTCCCTGCCCACAGGAACAATAGGTGGTCATACCCTGTGGAAAGATGGAGTGCACTGCACTGGTCCTTGTGTTACTCTGAGCTGTTCCCCAGTTTTCCCAATGCAGCTCAGCACTTTAGGCAGTTGTCTTTGGTTGACCTTCATGATTTCACACAGCAGTTGGTAGCTCCACCTGCAAAACACTATGAAATACCTGCTGTTGCAGCTGTTGTCAGCGGCTTCCATTGGAAGTTTCTTTCCTTTCCACCTAATAGTCAAAAATCTGTTTGTAAAGCTTCAAAATTCAATTTGAGGCTATTTACCTGCTTTGGCCTAATGTGCACTGTAGAGTTATAAGGTGTAGATATGCAAAGTGTAATGTAAATGCAAATGTAAAATGCTTTAAAGCTGCAGGCTGGATCCTGAGGCTGCATAAGTGTCCATAAGTTCAGAGCAGTGAGCTGTTTGCTGGCAGCAGGAGAGCTGACTCATTTCAGAAAGACTGTGACCGAGTAGCTCCATCAGAGCAGGCCTCTCCTGAAGAGCTGCAGGTCTCCCTGCAGGAGGAACTGGCTTCCATGATGTGCAGTTTGGTGTAATTTGGTTTCCTGGGCTTGCTTAAAATAGCTCAGGCTGGTACCAGCAAGAATCATTTCAGCCAACAATGCAAAGCAAGTTAAGAGAATGTTCCTTAGGAGAAGATGGTCACACTGTGCTTCTCATCTAGAGACACCTGCAGCACATGGTGCTCTCATAAACAATCAGCTCTGGTCTCAGCAGGGAGATGAAGGAATGCCTGCAGCTGTGACAGACATCAGTACAGGGCTGCAGCTCGTACTTTGGCTATTTTCTGCCTCCAGTGGTTGATCTTACAGCAGCTTGCATGGAGAGCAGGAAGCCCATAGGTAGGGCAACCAGGTTGCAGTGCTTCCCCCTCCTGGCTCCCCTTGCTGCCACACATGGATCTGAAGTTCGATTTCCAGATTAAATTTTCATGGGCTCTGCCTTGTGTCTATGAAACTCCATCTATTTTTCCTTTTTACTTCACATCACCTTTTTTCCCCAAATTTAATCCAAAAAGCAGCAGGCATCACAGGGATGTTATCCTCCTGATGAGAACAGTTGAGACTGGATAGGAAAGTAAGGACATGTGTGAAAAGGAAAAGTAGAGTCCCCTAAACACATGGAGTATAAAGTTTTGTTTACAGTAGGTTTGGCCAGGACATGGATTTGCATTGCATCAGCAGCAGCACCAAGCAAAGTGGTGGCCTTGTGTTTCCAAAATGTTGACATTCGTAACTTTGCCTTCCATGCAAAATTGACTTTTCCTTTCCATAATAAATGTGTCTCTGGTTCCCTCTGTGGTGGGCCTGACTTCATGTGGGAAGAGAGTCATTCAGGGGAGCTTCTGGGCATGTGTACTCAAAGGGAACAGAGAAGATTTATAATTTTAGTTGAGTCCTCTGGTGAACTCAACTAAAATTACAGAGGTCCTGCTATTTCTGCTTCCCCTTACTCTCACTGACTGATTCCACCCAGGTGCATTGCTGCTTTCTGTCCATCCCCTGTGCACATCCAGTATGGTCAGGATTTTGTCTTCTCTTCCCATGCAGCCAAATCGTGTTTAATATAATTACCTGGTAATGAAACCTTTTCTCTTCTTCTTGAATAGGAAGATAGCTGAAAGAGGTAGGCAAGTAGCTAGAAGAGCCCAAAATACTTAAATAAATGCTTGGACTCAAAAAGAAATCTTATCCTTTGATAAGGATATTTTTTTCTGAAGCATGACATTAACAGCACCACAGTACAGACTTTTAGTCTGTGCAATGAGTGTTTAGGGTAAGATAATGTGGGGAAAGGCTGGGTATAGCCTTGCTATACATAAATTTATTTGTTCCTCCCAAATTTCTTCACACTGATGGGGTCAAAACTCTGGTCTCAATGACAGAGAAAGAGCTGATTTTCTGTATGAAAAAGACCCTAAACCAGACTGTAAGAAATTGAGTTGGCTTTTTCATAGACATCTACTCTAACCAGCTTCGCAACAAAAATGGATTTCAAGCAGTATCTGCCATCTATGAAAGTTGCTATTTTGCTTGTGTAATGCTCACCCCCTTCTCGCTCAGCCCGTCTAAGACTAGGGTGATGACTGTGCATGTGGCAGCAAGGACAAACATCTTGCTTGTGACTTGGCAGGAGGACCTGGCAGCGCCGCAGCCGCCGGAGCAGCCGCGGCTGGAGGGAGAGGGGGCCCCGGCAAGCACTGCAGGAGAGGTGAGTGGTGCCACGGCCCCGCTGCCCTGCGCTCCCTGTGCCCCTCCCGGCCCCCTTCTGGGTTCCTGGTTTCCCCCTGGCAGAATCTGCCCCTCGCCACTTGTGGTTTAGAACTGCCATGCAAGGAGCCCATCACTGCTCCCACTTTCCTGGGTTGTTGGACAAAAACCTGAGCTCCTCTGTTCTCATTTTCACCACTTCCTTAGCTTAGGAATTTTCCATGAGTGACAGATGGGCAGATTGCAAACTGTTGCCTGATTTGGGTTGATTTTGGGGTGTAACTGCACATATTAATGCTGTCCTACAGTTCTGTCATTACATGGAATAGCTTTTTCCTGTTTTCAGCCCTGCTTTAGAAGAGATTTAGATAATGAGTTAGGTTCTTCTATAGATTTTTCTGTATTTAAATTAGTTTATTTAAATTTTTAACTGTTATACCTGCAATGTTCTTTTGAAGCCCTGGGTCAAAAGTTTGTCTCTGGGCCAATTTCAGCTCTTGAACAAGGATGACTTTTTGTCCAACATGGACAACAGGGGCAAACGCTTCTCATGTGGTCTTTCCTTTACAATTTCAGTGTTATTTCAGGCCTTTGTCTGTCCCTTCCACAAGTACTGCATGCACCCAATCCCCACAGTTTTCAGCCTTTCTGAAGCTGAAATATTTACCTGTTTTCTTACTTGTCTTCTCTCACAGGGTGAAATTGAAGGTGATCCATCAAGTTAGGGAATTCTTGCTCAAAAGAGGCCATTCCAAGAGCATACATGGAAGTATTAGCTGTCACCACAACAGGAAACTCCCACTGTCCATAGACTAACTACATCCAGCTCTGTAGTCTTGCACTTGCCTCATAAACCAGTTGTACAATATATGTAAGCCAGACTCCTCTAATAGTAACGTGCAGGTGTGTACTGGGCTGTGTGTCTTTCCCATCCTCCCTCCTGGCCTCCCAGTTGCTTTGTATATTTTGGTTGGACTCACAAATCTGTGTCTTGCATCCATATGCACTGGCACTTGGGATCTCTAGGCATTGTGGAATTTTTTTTTTAACTAATAAAAAGTGTTTGAACAAGATTTTTGTCTTGTCAGTTTTGTTTGCACATTTTAGATGTGGATCCTTCCAGACTGATGCATTTTTCCTGTAAAAGTGCAGTATTAGAGTACTCAAAACTGTAAGGGCCTTAAATCGTATTGTAAGAGATTAAGAATAACAAAAAAATGTTATTTCTGAAAACAGTACTGTAGGTAGGCTGGCTTTCTGTCTCTCAGGCTGAAAAACAAATATTTCACTTTTTAAATACTTGCCATGTTTAAGAGAGAATGTAGAGGTGATATTGGATGAAAGGAGGCTTTTTAAAGGAATGTGAAAGTGATGTTGAGCTCAGTTTATTCTGTCTGCACCAGAAAGCTGTCCTGACATCAGGATGTAACAAGCTGCCAGAAGGTAATTAAAGAAATATGCTGGGCACCAAGTGACCTGGTCAGAACTGCACTGCTGCTGGCAGGGACAGCCAGGGTTGCTGTGAAATGTGTGAGTGCCAGGGCAGGTGCCCAAGGAGAACCTCCTGGTGACCACGAACACGGAGCTGGTATCGGTTACAGCACTCGGTCAGGCTGCTGAGTGAGGGCAGCAGAGACCCTCCACATTCACCAGGGCAGAGAGCAGGAAAATGTTGCTGTGAATAATGGGCTACATTTAAAGCACATCAGAAGGTATGGATATAAAAATGAGTTCTTTTATTTACCTGCAGGAAAAGCACCCACGAATCCAGGAGAAGCCAGTGTAAACTGTTGAGATTTAAACTGCTTCAAAATCAGACCAGTAACCTTCATTAAGCTGCTAAATGATGATGACTATGGAAGGTATTACAGAAGAGACTTGCTGTGGCATGGAAGCATCTAGCAAGTGTGCTGGCAGCCTCTCTCAGGCATAACAGTATGTGTAAAGCATTGCCTTGCAGAGACAACAGGATTTTCATCCCAGTGGGTCTTTGATCTCAATATAGAAAGAGAAAAAAAGAGCCCTAGCAGAGGTAAAAGGACCTTCAAAGGCAGATGTATCTGATATGTGCATACTCTCCTCTGATGTCCTGCAAGTATCTGCCAATTAAACAGAGTAACTAAAATTGAGGCCAAGGTAAGAGGACATAAAGAGATACTCATGCCCAGCAGCAGGAGGCTGGAGTCTATTCTCAGTGCTCACTAGAGAGAGACAGAAAAACCTTTTGCTCAAAAGCTTTGCTTAATGGGGATACAAACAAAAGTGTGTTTCAAAAAAGTGTTTTGCAAAAATTCGGAGGTGAATGCCTTCACTATGTAGGGTATGCATGGGAGGCAGGAGCAGGCTGTAACAAAGGATCAGTAAGCTGCTCCCCAAATGCCCATCTCTCAAGCAGGCTTTCCCCCTGGTTCCAAGGGCTTAAACCAGGAGAGAATGGTAATTACTGAGCTGAGAATGCTGTGCCACATCTCTGCCACACTGAGCTGCATGGCTGCTTGGGAGAGCAGCACGCAGCTCTCTGTGTTTCCTTCCCTGTGGAAGGGAAAGTGTTTTACCAGTATCTACACAGCTGTATCTGGAACTGTGGGACTGAAAACACTGCTTGACTACTGGCCAACATGTGTCCAAATGTTTCCTACAGATGTGTCCAAATATTTCCTACAGATGTGCCTCTGCACTTGCCTGCCTCTCACGTGGGACAGCACTGCTCGGGGCCCAGGCACAGGCAGTTCCAAGTCTTGGAGACAGACACCAGGACATGCAGTTTCCTCCCACACGAGTGCCCTGTGTCAGTGAGTGGGAACAGGGCAGTGCTGTGCCCATGCAATGGCTCAGTGAGCCTCTATTTCCTCCCTGTCCCTTCCTCAGACTGGCTGTCACCCAGCTGTGGGGAGCAGAAGCCAGAGGTCTGAGCCACATTTGTCAGAGGTAAGAAAGGTGAGGACTTGATTCTTTTGAAGTAGAAGGGTCTTTGATTAAGGAGACAAAATATTGTCTATTAATTATTCAACTAAACTTTATTGTACATCTGTTTATCGAAAGGAAGTCTGTGCTTTCAATGAGTATTCAGACAAGTGTAATGAGAGGTGATGGAAGTGAAAAGTGGAATGATGGAGGTGATGTGTCAGAAATATCCTACAGGAGAAGGTACTTCCACTATGGAATTGCTGGCACCCCCTGCCCCAGGTAAGTGCTGAGGGAAGCAGCCACTAGCAAAACTATTTTTTGCTGACAGATCTTGTGCAATCAAGAATTTCTTTTACTCATCTCGCCCTGTGAATTATTGAAGTGGACTTTGTACATGTGATACCACTATCACACAGGCTGTTAACTTAATCCCACTGTGATGAGACAGCACCCAGTGCCAGGCACAGTGTGGTCACCATCTGTCCCCAGTGAGGACTGTGGGCACTTGCACTCTGACCTCTGAGGGGATCCAACCAGCCAGGAACAGCTGCTGCCAAGTCTTGCATCAACCTCACCATACAAGTGACCAACAAAGTGCTGAAAACCATTTTTTTCCCCTTGTAACAGCAAAACTTCCTTTCCATGTAAAACTGCAGTTAAGCTTTATTGAGTGATTTGTTCTGATAGAGCTCACAGCCTTTGTGAGCTCCCCCCAGTTATGTCCTAGCCATGGGCTGAAGGGCATGCAGGGCCTGATTTTTCAAAGATGTTTGTCTGGGATGAAGGAGAGGAAGCAGTGGCTCTCTACAGAATATCCCTAACAGCATTCCACTAATTTAAATGCAAATCAGGTAATAATACACTTAAAATCCCACTTCATTTGAAAGTCCTATTTTTGTGTCTGCATAATGCATGTCCTAAAACTGAATTCACAGAGTACCCAATTAAAAACTGAAGGGCTGTTTTTATAATACTGTCCTCTATAAAATCACATTCTCACCTCTTTGACACATTGAAACTCGCTTTAACTGTTTCATAAATGCACTGAAACCCTACCAAATCACACGAAGACACTCCATACTGTTAATAGCATAGCAGAAAAAGCTCAAATCAAAACTGCACTTTCTGAATATCAGACAAACCCCTGCCCACACGAGTTTGAAACAGCACAGACTTTCTCTGTCAAGCTTTGGCACTGCTGTTTTGTGTGGATCCCAGGATGCAAGGCAGCTCTGCTTCTCCACCCTTCCCCTCCCACTAAGCCCATGTGGGTGGGCAGCACAACTGTGTGCCAGAAGGGCAGAGCCACAGAACTCCTTGCTCTCAGTGTGCCTAGAAAATGTACACAGCTCTCCTGTAGACTTTATATCCCAGCTCACAGCCTCAGCTTTCCCAGCCAGTCACTCCTGGGATAGGACCAGTTATTTATTTCCCCAGTCCCATGCCAGATTTTAAGGTGGGAGTCAAGCCTTTCTCATCTTCTTAGCCTTACTTAAAGACCAGACAATTTTTTTTGTTGTCTTTTCTCATCATTAATCTGCAGGATATTGTAAGCATCCATAGCAGTCTCAGTATTTAAGGATGGTTTTAGATGCTCCAGATGACAGTAGAAACATGACACTTCACCTGGATGTTACCTCAAGATTGAAAAAGTAGAAGGTAAAGAACTCCATTTGCATTGGCCTTACGTTGATCTCATGCTTTGAAGCAGAGCTGATGGATAATTCCTGGAGGATGTTACCACCCGTGTAAAGGAAGAATCAGTTAAACCTACTTTTCTCCTGGTACTGTATGTCAATATTTGAACCAAACAGCTAATTTAGCTTAATTAGAACAACTTTAGTTTTTTATTCACCTGCTGTGAATATATATCTAAAAGTCTAATTGACCCATTGAGGGGAAAAAAGGGTTGCTGTTTGAAATAACAAGGTCAAATTTAGTGTGATCTCCTAAATTACTGACAAATGACTTACAATAATTGTCTATGAGCAAACCATTGCATTTCCTAAAACAATTCCGTTTCATGACATAAACATCACATCCCTTCCACACCAATATCAGCCTCCTCTAGCAGCCATGAATGCTGAACACTGCACACTTTGTAAACTTCTGGAGTGATCTGTGTAGAACTTTTTGGCCCTGACACATCATTGCATTTGCCTTGCTAATGAACACCACACCTATCTATAACCCTGGTAAAATTAAAATTTAAGAAAACCCATATAAATTTCAACACTTTTTAATTAACCTCACTTGCCCATTTTCATGTGTAAAACATAAGCTGTAGCTCTGATTAATTACTTCTGACCTTCATCAGGTGATAGAGCAGAAGGGTTCATGTCACTGATATATGAGAGGGTGCTCAAAGCTGCCACTGAAGATGTGTGAAAGGAAAGAAAACCAGAACAATTTCTAATTTCCCCATGGTGCTTTAGATCTAACTCACAGCTGTTTGGGCCTTGTATTTGTTGTTGCCAACTATTTCCAGGGCCATGGATTCTGAAGCACTCCTAGCACTTAAGGAATCAGTTTTGGGTTTCTTTTCCCCAAACACAAATAACTGCTCATCACAAGGAGCAGGCTGTGAAGGTGCAGAATGTGGAGAAAAAGCCCAAGGACTCAGACACAGAGAAGGGAATCAGACATGTTACATGTCAGAGGTGAGCAGACAGTGCTGCTGGGGCTGCTGACACTTTTGGGCTTCTGGTCCTGGCCAGTGTCAGTGATGCACCCTGGCATTACCAGGTGGAGTAACTTTTGGAATAGCCTGAAATTTCATGGGCACCTTGGTGTGTGGCTCTGCCTGCACTGTGGTACCTGCCCCAGCTGGCATTAACCAGGATTTCTACCTGCAGTCTCAGCAGATACTGCGAGCTGAAAGGAGCAAAAGTCCAAACTAACTTCCCGCCCTTTCAAATCCTCATTTTTAAGCACTCTAATTAATGTCTAACATCAGTTCAAAAGGCTTACTATTGTCTTCTAAAAAGTGAGGTTAACTCACAGAGTGGATAAGTATTATGCAATATATTCCATTAATTTTCTGCTGTGATTTTGTAACTTAGCCTGCCACCTGATGCACAGATTATTGGTACCATCATATGGAATGAATACCATGCAAATGTCCCTCTTCCCTCTGCTCTGGGCTGCACTATAATGATCATGCCATGCCAATTTGGGCAAGAGTAATTTGCTCACTTTCCTTTTTTTCAGTATGGAATCAGGATAATTATATTAATGCTAAAGATAAGATTACATTAGATAAGGAGTCATGCTGCCATGCTGTCAGCAGTGTGGGTTTTGCTCAGGAATTCATGCTGCCTAATTCTTTAAGCAGGAGGTAAAGCAAGCAGTGACACAGATCAGGCACCCATATTGAGTCCAAAATGCTGAACAGAGATTTCTACTTGGAAGAATAATAGTTGGAGCTGGGGAAATCTAGGTAGGTATTAGAACAGAATTAGAGAGCAATATTTACCTGAACCGATTAGGAGTCTATAAAATATTGCTCTAATGTGGTGCATGTTTAATGCTTGATGTAAGCATGCTTGGGTTTTAAATGCTTTCCTAAATTCCTGGTATCTTTTTCAGGAAGACCATCCCAGCCAGCACCTGCAGGGCCCTTGCACTGAAAACCCAGCAGTGCAAACAAGCTGGGAGGCCATCGGGAAGGTATTTGCTGCTGAAGCCTGGGTACATCTTCTCTTGAGCTGTGACAAGATGCCGGCTGGATTCCAGAGAGCTTCTTCCTTCCTTTCACTAACACTCCACACAAAAGTTAATCTACCTGACTGAGAACAGCTGAAATCCACCTGTTTGGCCTGGCTTTGCTGTGGCTATGTTCTCAGGTTTGGGCAAGAAAAATAAGTAGGTCTCTGTTAGTGATTTGGTTCCAAAAAATGCCAGAGCCCCACAAGACTGGGTGTCCTTTTATCTGAGTTTTTGCAAATTCAAGTAAGAAAATCATTCCAGGAAAGAAATCAGCAAGGAATTGAAAAACATACCTGCTGTGAATTTATAATTAAAAGTCTAATTGACCCATTGAGGGGAAAAAAGAATTGCTGTTTGAAATAACAAAGGAGTGGTGCAAAAGTTGACAAGAGCTCTCTGAAATGACAGGCGGAGTAGGAGCAGCAGAGGAATACTCAGAACCTTGTTTTCTGTGACTCTTCCTCACTTGGGTACTAATGAAGTCCCAAACTTATGAGAACTGTCAGTACCCACCCTGGTTTATCTGTGGCATCTGTGCCAGTTTACCAACACAAATCTTTTCTCAGGAAGAAAAATATGGGTATGAGTGTGGCCATCTGAACAGAGACACTTTGTACCCCAGAAAATGGCAATGAGGAACCCAAACTCCACAAAGCCAGAGAGCCATTTGGCTCCTGACTCTGCCAATAGTTTACTTGTACAAAGTACCTTTGTACTGGGGATGGATGGCAGGAAATATAAACTCCAAAGGCTAGTGGAAACCTGGGAACTGCCAGAGGTTAAAGCCAGAAACTTTTATTAATGTGGTAATGCTAGGAAAGGAAGTGAGTTTAAACATAATTTCTGAATGAAAAGAATCTTACCACACTGAATGAAAAGAAGCCACAGTAGGAAAATGTGGGTTTGCTAATTTGGCTTTTTTTTTTTTTTTTTCCCCTGAGAGCTGCTAGTGCTGGCACTGGTTACCTGCCTTAGCCAGGCAAGGCCTTCTGTGATGATGGGATTTGCAATCCACCTTGAGCAGGCAACTGGAAAGATGACCAGATTAGCAGTTTCTTATAAAAAATACGCATAAATCACAGCTCTCACCATCTAACCTTATCCCACCTGACAAGAAAAGTGGGTTCTGATTACAACTTCTAAGAACAGAAAAAAATTGGGCTGGTTTCTGTTCTCATGAGGGTCTGCTTAGGGACTGAAGGAAGGAGAAGGAAGTCAGCCTGGCGGGGACAAAAGTTGGCCATGGCCACACACTGAACTTCAGTAATTTTCCAGCACTTGTAAATCTCAGTTCAGTGGCTTTCCTCTGCCTGTGATGGTGGAACAGGTTTTTTTGCAGTTTTGGTTATTAAAAAAACAAACAGCACAAATTAACAAAGACAGTGTGATGGAGCAAAAATCTCAATCTGGGCACACCCTCTCATCGGGGAGGGTAAATAAACAGCTTTTCTCTATTTTCAGCTGTCATTCTTCACATTTGAACTCCACCCATTGTACCAGTCACCCCCAAAAGAATCAGCAGGTCTCCTGGCAGATGTATAAAACCAGAACAAGTCAGGACTCTATCACATAGTGTGCTATACATCACCAGCCGCTCCATTTTATCGAAGGAGAGGACTTTAACAGGTGTCAGAAGCCACAATGTCGAGTAAAAGCTTCCAGGGACTGAAGGAACAAGCTGAAGGTGCAGCAAAAGATGCTGGTAAGAAAGATAAAATACTGTTGTATATTTAGAGGGGGGCTTAGTTGCTGAATACCACAAACCATGGCTGCATCGGTGCTAGCAGGACACAGCTTCCTCTCTTTTCTTCACTTTGCAAGTTTTGGCCATCACCTGGAGAAGACCACAGGCCAGCCATTCTTCTCAAAGCTGCCTCAACCCACTCACCCACTTCTCTCTCTGTGGCTCCTGGGCATTTTCCAACTCTTATCACTCTCCAAAATGTTAAACTTAATATTTTTAGAGCAGTGAAGCTTTTTTTTGGTGATAACAGCCTTCTGTATTTAGCATTTGCATTGATCAGGGTGGTCTGTTTTCATGCTTTGCAAGTGGCTTTTAATCAGCACTCCTTTTAGTATGTTGGAATTAAGCTTTGATTAACATTTGACATTTGGCTTGTCAGTGTCTTCTGGTAATGTAACGACATTGATTGCAATAGATAGTTTGTAATGTGTAGGACATGTTTCTGTTGTGTTCTTCTGCAGTAATCACCAGACTGCAGGGTTTAAAAAACCCTGTATGCACATTTCTGTCATTGCAATGCCCATGTTCTAAGGCTGAGCACTGTTGTCATTAGCACTGGGCATTGGAAACCAACTTTTCAATGCAAAGCATAAAAATTTTTCCTTGAAATGAAAAATCTCAAAATGAGTACAGCATATAGTAGCTTTCTATAGTATATTCACTACCATGTTTGCCTGCTGCTCTTTCCCAGTAGTGTGTAATTTGATCAGATATGGTTCTGGATTCTGATCCTGCAAATATTTCCTTGTATAGCTGAAATATATGAGTGACATCATTGATTATACTGAAGTTACAGAAAGTTTCCATATATCTGGGGACAAATGTGTAGTAGCCCCACAAACATTACAGAGCCCCTTTCTGGAAAACAAAATAGTCTTTGTTGCATCCTGAATATACTCCTGCCATTGAGGGTGCACTTCACTGTTTCATAAACTATCAGCTATCTTACAATTGCAAGGCATCTCACTTTTTTAATGTTTCATGTTCTGGAGTTGATCTGTTATGTTTCCAGTTTCTGCTCCTCTTCTATTCATATCTTGTTTGTAAAAATCTCCTTTCTCCTGTCCATCTCTGTTTAATGCACTTGCTTCTGTCTTAGAACAGGCTCAAGTCCCAGACAGCGCATAGGGAAAATGCACATTAGATGGCCAACCTACCCCAAGCATAATAAGGCAGAAAAATCAATAAAAGCAAGTGTAGTGTTAAATAAGCAGCTTGCAGCTAAATGTCATCATTCCGACTCACTGCTAATCTTTTCTTATCTCCTGCTTATCTGCCGTTGATTTGCTCAGCTGACCGTGGGTGCCAGGTGAGTGCTAATCTCGGAGCAAGCTGCTGTGGCAGCACACAGTGCCCAGGGTGCCCTGTGAAGGGCACAGCCTCAGCCTGCTCTGCACCAGCCCGGGCCCTTGCCAGGGGCACAGCCTGCTGCAGGCGTGCAGAAAGCTCACTGGCGTACGGAATTCCCGTAACCAGAAACGCGAACGGCTGGAAAGGATTTTGATTTTGTTTTCCCTTAATTACAGCAAACGCACTGGGACAGGCCACTCAGGATGCAGTCAACCAGATAACAGATGCAGGCCAGAAAGGTAGGAGCAATGACGTTCAAGTCAAGACGGAGCAGCTCAACACAAGCCAGAAGCGGCCCGTGCTCATTCTCTTCTGTCCCACAGGTGTTCTCAGCCTGAAAGTCCTTGGTTTCAGTGACCACTTTGTATGACCTTTAACATTTTATAACAACTTTAATGATTTTATAGCAACCTGTATAAATCTCACAGAAGGATTTCAGGATCTGTTGCTTAGGAGCTCTGCACATGTACTGGCAGACTGTAGCTGACCCTCCCTGGCCCCCAAGTCTCATGCACAGCATTCAGACATTGGCTTCCTGTTTAGAAAACTTGTGGGGACAGCTCTTCTTTCTAGAGGATTGGGTAACTCTGTGTTACATCTTGCTCCCCCCACCCCAGCCCTGAGAGCAGGGGTCTGTCCAGGTCCAGCCCTACACTGGATCCCAGCACCTGCTGGGGCAGCAGCTGGGGTTGAACATTATTGATCCTGCAGGTGAAAAGGTGTTGTCAAGCAAGTGTTGGCATCTTGCAGCTGGGCATTGAGAACAAGTTAAACTAAAATCTAGACTGATTTTTTTTTTAATAATTTATTAAGATTCTAAGTTTGAGGGGTGAATTGTAATTTTGGGGTCTAAAATATTTCAATTTCATGAAAGCCAAGATGCACTGGCAGTATCCCCTTAGAGGTGACAGCTTCCACAGCTCCATGGATGTGACAAGAAGGGCAGGCTTGGGCAGCTGTTGACGTTAGATGAGGAGGCAGCAAAATGTCCAGAATCTTTTTTGGAAATAAATCACTCCTTTTTTATAGTCTAATATTTTTCACACCTCTCTTCTATCGTAAGTATTAAACCATGTTGCATTTTTCCAAATTTCTGCTTATCTTTTTCCCTCTCTTGCAGCTTTTGACAAGGCTTCCAAGACAGCACAAGATGGAGTAGAAAAAGTGACCGGACAGGCTGCAGAAGCCATGTCTGGCTTTGGGAAAAAATGTGGATTCAAAAAATGATGCTAATTCAAGTCACCAGTACTGCTTGTATAAATCTCTCTTTGGCCTGTTATTACCTACTTCTTTGTGTAGAAAAATGAAAGCTGTTTGATATCTGGATAATTTCATTCTCTGCAAATACAACTTTTTAAGACAGAAGGTCCTTCTCATCCTTTACATAGAAAAAATGCATGTCTGCTCACAATTGCCAACGTGGCTGAAAAGGTTTCAGCAATGCTGTTGCCCTGCTCTTACAACAGCTCAGTGATTATTGCCACATTTGCTGAGTGTATTTACAAAGTCAGTGAAACTGTTCATAATTAGGACACCAGAACATCATGTGATGAAACTGAGTCTTCTTCCAATAATCAAAAATTAGGCTGGGGTTATATTTCTTGTCAGTTGTTTGTTTGTTCCCATTCTCTGCATTTTTAGATTAAGATAAATAAAGGTACTGTAAGATCTCCCCTACTTAGATCATGTTGTTGTTTAATCTCGTTATTTTGCTGGGGTTTTCAGTGAAGGATCGCACAGTGTCTTGCTAATCCCTTTTGCTCTCTGATTCAGAGCCCTGTGAGGTCACGGGAAGGGAGGGGAGTACTGAACCCTTCTGCAGCCTGGCAGAAGGATGGAAACCAACATCCCTGCCCTGCAGAGGAGCCCTGTGGTGTCTGGGAGTGAACGGAGTCGTGGTGTCCACCCCTTCTCCGTTCTCCTGGACGTCTGGTGCCCATCTAAATGTCTTGTTTCCAGTTCCCACAACACATCTCCTGTTAAATCTCCTGGGGACAAACCCCGGCCAGCCACGGCCTGTTCAGGGATGGAGCTATTGCCACACAGGCAAGGGGGCAATCTTCTTGCCTAGGAGATGGAAATATTTATTTGAGATTGCTGCTTGCTGGGCAATCAGAGGCTGTGCAGCCAGACAGGATGCCCTCTTAGTGCTGCCTCTGTCAACAGAAGGCACTAATATCCACTCACTCACAGTAAGTGCTCTTAACTCAGCCTCAGGCTGTTTCTCATTGCTAGGCAATATTTCCTTTCTATTTTTTTCCCTTTTTTGTTTCCCTCTATTGCTTTGAAGCCTTACCAGCCTGTTTCAGTAAGAATATAATTTGTGTCTTGCAAAAGAAAACCAAAGCATGACCAAAACCATCTGGCTGCAATGAAATAGGGCAGTCCAGGCCTGTTTGAGGTATCAGAGTCTCACTCCTCTTGGCCAAGAGCTGGGGTTGTCCAGGGCTTTTTGGAAGCCAATCTTTGCTAATTTGGTCCAAGGAGAGACTGGTTCATCACTGGACCCAAAGACCACCCTTGTCTGCAATCTGCACAAGGGCTGCACCAACACAAAAGCCTTTACAGGACCTTACAAGTAATAGACCATCTGTGAGTAAACATAGTCCAGGCTTTGCACAGTGCAATGCCCTATGCAATGGCTCCTGTCATTTAAAGCTTTAAAAGCCTAAATATTTACCCAAGTACAAGCTCACAGAAAAAGCATTAGACTATTGCACTCTCAGTTACTGGGCAACCCCCAACAGTACTTTATTATTTAGTACTTTTCATAGTTACCTTCCTGATGGTGAAATCTTTGGGGACTGAGCTCTTTAGGCTCAGCATTTCAGACACCAGTGTGACCCATACACCGCTCTCTATCACACCTTTTTTTTTCTGCCTGCAAATCACTTAAATATTACAAAAAAGTTTGTACACTTGCAGGTATTTTCACCAGTAAAACATGTTATCCCCTTGCATGACAGACACTGCTCCTCCTGCTTTGTTCATGGGGAATGCAGCCCTGACTCCTGGTGCGCAGTTTTACATCCCTTTATTCCAGTTGTCTTCAGTGTACCTACACAGTTATCAGTTCCCACCCTACCAGCCCAGTGTTGGCAGGGTAGGGACTGGACAGCCTGGCTGGAGGGACTACTGGAGGTCACCCACTGAGTTTAGAGAGGAGAAATCACTTTATGCATGCAGCCAGGGAGCAGCCAGAGGCAGTTCCTGACTCCTGCTCCCCAGTGCAGGGATGCCCTTGTGAATTCAGGATCCTGATCGGAGTATTTCACATCTCTTTGTCCTGAGGGTGAACGCTGTGCCATGGGCACCCATGAGTCTGAGTCACTTGCTGGCAAGTGTTTCCAGGTCCAAACTTAAGCACTTTGCTCCACAAGTAAGGTCCCTGCCTTAGTCACAGTGCTCTTTGGTCTGGAAGTATTTGGGGCTCTGTCTTGCTTGTGCATCACACAGCGACCCATGACCCAGCTCAGGACTGCATCCTCCTGTCCCAATTGAAGTCTCCAGATGTTCTGTAAAAGTAAAGCAGACATCCCTAGAGCTCCTAGCAGCTCCTGGTGCCATCAGCTTCAGACACGTGAAGTTATCTAACACTGGAGTCTCAAACTTCCTTATATTGGTGCTGGGTGTGTCTGCAGCTGCCTGAACTATGAAATGCTGAGCAACAAGGATTCTTGTTTCAACCTGGCTGGGCTGCCCCACTCCAACGCCCCGGAGACCTTCCCAAGGTGGCTGAGGGGCAAACATCCACCTTATCTCCTCTTCACAGCTCAACAGGCCAGGGGCATGGGGGAGGCCTCAGCTTTTACCAGGTTTTTATCCTTCTCCCGGGTGAATACTGTGATTAATGGTCTACAGGTTATCAAGAATCCAAGAATCCAATCTTAGCAGCTGTAGTTTCCTGTCACGTGGCAAAGTAAGACCAAGAAACCTGGAGACAAATAAACTGTTGGTGTGCTGGGTGCTGTTGCCCATGTGCCACGGGGAGTGCTGGAGCTGGAGCTGCTGTGCAGGCTGCACGCTCTGCCCGGTTGTGCTGTGCAAGCTGCACGCTCTGCCCCGGTTGTGCCGTGCCGTGCAGGCTGCACGCTCTGCCCGGTTGTGCTGTGCAGGCTGCACACTCTGCCCCACTGTGCTGTGCAGGCTGCACGCTCTGCCCGGTTGTGCCGTGCCGTGCAGGCTGCACGCTCTGCCTGGTTGTGCCGTGCAGGCTGCACGCTCTGCCCCGTTGTGCCGTTCCACCAGGCCTCAGACGATGTCGGGCTGCCCCACGCAGCCTCCCTCCACCCCAGAGAGCAGCAGTGGGCAGCCAGCAGAGCCCCCCTTGGCCCCACCTCCCAGGTAACCATGATTGTTGGATTGGCAATGTTGGAAAGGATATCCCAGCCACTCCTTGAAGTCTGTGGTTATGAACAATGCTGTCCGGCTCCCTTTTGGGGCTCTCAGCAGTGTCTGTTGCCAGGGGCCTTGGCAGCACTGGGGTTTCCTGCCCATAGCACAAACTGACTTTTATTGCTTTCACCTTTGAAGTTTATTTCTCACCAATCACAGAGGTGGACCCTTCACTCCAAACCCCACCAGGTGTGGCAAACGAGGGCCGTTACCCAAAACCTGCTGCACCTGGGCTGGGGCAGCCTGGCTGTGTAGGCTTTATTGCTTTCACCTTTGAAGTTTATTTCTCACCAATCACAGAGGTGGACCCTTCACTCCAAACCCCACCAGGTGTGGCAAACGAGGGCCGTTACCCAAAACCTGCTGCACCTGGGCTGGGGCAGCCTGGCTGTGTGGGTGTAGGTTGGGGAGCCTTTAAAGGGGCTGTGGGAGGATTCCCGGGGGAGCTGCTGGCTGCGGACGTGGCGGGCAGGTAGGACCCAGGCATGTGGGGTGCTGGGAGGGAGGTGAGTGTTGGTGTTGTGGGTGCTGCGACTGAGCCCGGGGAATGAAGGCCCTGCAGCCACTGCCTGTGGCGAAGGCGCCGGGCTTTGTCTCTGCTGCAGCTCGGTGTGTCTGCCCGTGCCGGCTGGCGGCCGAGCTCCGGCAGTGTTAGTGTGTGTGCCTCGGCAGCTCCAACCCTGTTAGTGTTCGGCTCTGCCCCGGCATTGCTGGCTCGGCAAGGCCTGGGCCGGGCCCGCTCTCGGCAGCCCCGCGCAGGAAGGAGCCGAGCGCTCGGGACGTGTCCCTGTGCGTGTGTCTGCCCGTGCCGGCTGGCGGCCGAGCTCCGGCAGTGTTAGTGTGTGTGCCTCGGCAGCTCCAACCCTGTTAGTGTTCGGCTCTGCCCCGGCATTGCTGGCTCGGCGAGGCCTGGGCCGGGGCCGGGCCGGGCCCGCTCTCGGCAGCCCCGCGCAGGAAGGAGCCGAGCGCTCGGGACGTGTCCCTGTGCCGGGAGGCTGAGGGGCCCAGCCCAGCACAAATAGCGGCTGTGGTGCTGGGGAATGCAGTACTGAAATGCGTTGCTGCGATGGCAGATACTGCGACACTGAGTGCAGCCTAATGTCAGTCTAAATGCATCCCTGATCAAAGGCCTGCTGCCTGCAGGGAGCTGCACCTCCTCGTTGGTTTTCCATGGCTTTGAGAAAATGGGTGCTTTTTGTACTTGAAAAGTGGGATGTATTTTAATGCTGTGTGTTTTCACTCTGTGAGGCAAGCATCACCTTTACCTGTGTGTAGGCAGTGTTGTGATGGCATGCGCTCTCTCCTCTCACATGTTACAATAGGTACCTGCAGTGCGTCGGTGTAATGCGATTAGGGATGGTTCTGTGATTTTATTTCTGTGCTGATGTTCACTGGAAAGCCAGTGCTGGTGCTGTACCAGTCCATGCTCATGGAAGCTGCTCATGAGTTAATGTGGCTTTCAAAAAAAAGCTGTACTTGTGGTACTGGAGTGCATGAGAGTGGGAGCCATTCTTCACTTAGGAATTCGGCTAGGATGAGGAGGGAGGTGTATTTCCAGTGATAATGTAAACACACCTCGGCAAATACACAAACCTGTTGCTGACTCTGAGTCTTGTTGTCTTCACACATCTCTCTGCTGTCAGTAACTGGAGCAGCAGCAGAACAGGACTAGGAAATGGCAATTACCTGTGAACAAGGCTGGCTCAGGGTAGTTGAGGATGTCACAGGGAACAATGTGTATGTTTTACTGCTTGGCTGCTGTGCAAAGAATTTCCACTGGTCAGATGCTGGTCTGAGTTATCTGAAATATTTCTGGGTTTGTTTTCTTTTCTCCTGCATTGCAGGTCTGTTTTGAACTTTGTCAACAACCCTCTACTTGATGTCAGTTTAAAACCAATATTGTTACTTTCCTTTTGTTTTTTTTTGGGGGGGGGTTTGTTTGTTTTTTGGGGGGTCGGTTTTTTTTTCTTGTTGTTTGTTTGGGTTTTTGGTTTTTTGGTTTTTTTTGGGGTTTTTTGTGACCATATTCTGGTAGAATTTGTTTTCAAATATGGTGAATAATCCTTTCCCTGCTTTCAGAAAATAAAATGAAGAAGGGAACCCCCTCTACCCTCAGTAACTCTATATTCTATCTAATTGCTATAAAGTAGGACTTCATGGTCTGTAAAAAAAAAAAAAAGGGCAGTGGTGGGAATAAAACAGAGCTTTTATTGTAATGCTGAAAAGGGACAATGCTCATGGTCTGTAAAAAAAAAAAAGGGCAGGGGTGGGAA